CCCCAAAACCCCAAAACCCCAAAACCCCAAAACCCCAAAACCCCAAAACCCCTTCAACTTTATAATAAATTGAATATTTTGAATCAACAAATGAACAGTAGTAGTGGGAGTAATAGCAATGAAAGCATGTCCTCAGATGCAAGCACTAAGAAATGCTTCCTGAACAGAGGGGATTTCATGGAGCATATTAAATTCCCTGAAAATTCCCCCTCCTTGATTGTAATCCCATCTAATAAAGAAGGCACAGGCTTTCTCAAGTATTGATATGATGAGAGACATCTTAAAGGAAAGATTACTGAAGAGGAATTCGATAAAATAGTTGAGAAAGCAGCCAAAATTTCAGCAAAAGCTTACTCTAAATAAAAGAGTCATGGACAAAAGTGGCATCGGAAAAATGAATGGCATGCTCATGATAGCAAGCAGTCTTCTCACACTTGGGTTTCTCTCAATAATCATCGCTGCAGCTGATGCAAATTCGAACTTTCTTCACCTGTTAGGTTATATTTTGCTAGTGCCTTCATTGGTAATAATGGCAACAATTATGGTGATCAACTGGTTCAAATAATGTAAGAACATTCATCACATTTGAAGAGATTACTAAGCAAGGCTTAGATAGTTATTTCTCAAAGATTAACTTGGAAAACTTCATTGAAAGAGGTCTTGAGTGGAAAACAGCCCAATTAGGTCACTTCTGGATCGAGCTCCGGATCAAAAACCCTATCTCACAGAGAAATGATAACTGGGTGGCAAACAGAAATGAGAGGGATTCTAATCTCAATAGTCCTTTTGAGAGAAGGATTAGTGAAGAAAATCGGCTGGTCGATTTCCGTGAAGAGGGAGAAATGATTGAAAAGATCTCTGAGAAACAATCAGAAGTTTCTGTTCCTTCTTCAAATGAACACAAGGAAGGAAATCATTCCAAAGGAAGTGTAAATGAAAGACCAGGGTCAAAGAATATGTTCTTGGACGAATCTGTTAGTGAGGAAAATGAATTAAATAAAGATGCTTCTGATAACCGAGCAGAGCCTGAAGCATTTGAACTAGTTGAAGATCAAAAAGAACTTGAAAACTATATAAATATGGGAGAGGCTCCAGAAAATTAATAAGTATCTTAATATGAGAGTCCAACAACTCCTCAGATTTCATGGTAATAAAATTTAGTAATATTTTTGATTCCAATTCCCTAATTATCCAATCCTCTTCCTATGTTAGATGTATTGCTATAATTTCAAAGAAAGAGGTTTCTTTCAAGTTTTAACTAAATCCTCAAAATCAGGAAAGCTTGGAATACGTATCTCATTAATCCTACCTGTCACTATATAAATTCCTAATAGTCAAGAAATCTCTATGCGTATTTTCTTGGGTTCCACACCTACGTTTACCTAAGCTCAATGTTTCAACGAATTTGTTCATGTTTTATCAGCTTTGATAGCCGGCTCTCGGATAGTGATAGACTTGAGAGATGAACCTTCCCTATGCCATTGTTTGCAAATTTATTATCTACGTGAATTTATTCAATTCTTATCATAAGCATCGGGGTTTTGGGGTTTTGGGGTTTTGGGGTTTTGGGGTTTTGGGG